ATGATTAGCATGCAAAAATAGCATTGTAAATTAGGATTTCCATTTGTTGTGACACTTTTTTTAAACCAGTATTTGATTTGAATTCATTTTCATAATCTTGCTACAAATTGTGAGAGCAATTTCACATGCATACAAAATAGATTTGCGCAAGTTAGATTTTCCACTTGTACCAAAACTTTATTTCCGCCAATATTTTGTACAGTTTTGATATCTTTAAACTTTCTGAAACTTATGAGCTGAAAGTCACGTACTTTGAAGATTAGCATGCGAAAATAACTTTCATGAATAAGGGTTTCTCTTTGTTTTGTCAGAACGGTTTTACACTATGTTTTATTGTTTGCTATGATTTGAAGTTCTATTTCTAAACTTGCTACAAACTGTAAGTGTACAAACTTTTGTATACTTCACAATGATTATCATATGAAATAAATATTCTTAAAGGGATAGTTCACCCAAAATCTATCTTCAGAACACAATTTATGATATTTTTGATGAAATCCGAGAGCTTTCTGACCCTGCATAGACAGCAAGGGAACTGACACATTCAAGGCCCAGAAAGGTAGTAAGAACATCAATAAAATAGTCCATGTGACATCAGTTGTTACACCAAATACACAAAATAATGATCTTTAAAAAAGCATCATATGACCCCTTTAAGTTGTGGTAACAGGTCCCCTGAAATATTTTTCAGAGTGTATCTGGACACTTTTTTATGCTTTCAATATATTTCTCTAAGCTTTTAAAAGTTTCAACAGTTTTGAATATGACTTTTGTAAGATTTACCATTTTTTGTGGCACAACATGCTCACCGCTTGCTACGCTTTTAATTCCCCTAAACTCACCAATTTGGCATGTATAAGCAATTAGCATACAAAGCAGACTTCCGTAAACAAGATTTCCGCTTTGTTGTGCCAGAACACTTTTTGCCAGTGTTTGTGACGTAACATTGTTTACAGAGAAAGGCTCTTCTGCTCTGAACCGATCTGAATAGCTCTGCTCACTCCGGGTCGACTGGCACCTGTCTTGGCAGCACTGTGGACTTGTTGGAAGAGCTTGGCTCTTTTGTGACCGGTTCTTGCCACTCTGTCTTAGTCCTTTTTTCCCTTTTGTTCGCCCATGCCAGCCTAGCCAGATGCCTGAGCTCTTTGTAGTATGGTACAGCAGTTATGTATCCTGAAGAGAGTCACAAACACGCAGTCCTCCCTGTATGCACCCCACGGCTCAGCTATACTTCAGCTGTCGACCTGTGACTCCACCGCGGCCTTTGACTCCACTGTTGTTTGAGTGCTTTACCATGAAGAGGCCCTTACCGGCCCCTCACAATGAATCGCTCTGAGACTCAATAACATTGTTTAGTTGTGAGTGTGTGTTGCGAATGAGTGTGTGTTTTGAGCCCATGGGGATCACAGGCTGGACTCGCAGGTTTGGATTTATCTTCTTTAGTGAGGTGCATTAATGCTGCCTGCTGGTCTGCTGATGGGAATCTGAATTGTGCTTTCAGTACAATTTTCATATTGGTTGAGAGTGGCCCGCTACTCAAGGTTGTGTGTGTGTGTGTGTGTGTGTGTGTGTTTAAACACTGTCTGCTGAGAGGCTGAGCAAAATCTGTGTGTATTTCCTGTTAGTCCCTTTGGGTTTGCAGTGGGTCATGGGATGGAGTCAGAGTTATTTTATAGGAGAACCGCACGAGCCATATTCTGCATGCATGTCAATGAGTCCAATCTAATGTGTCAGACTGAAGATCAAACAAAGCATTTCATTAATGTTTCATAGACTGCTGAGCGTTTCGTTTCGCTAAACCAATTCTCCTCAACCAGTGTCTGTCGGCTCTGGTTCTCTGAACGGCGCTGTTGACGACTACAGGCAGCTTAACCCACCAGCTCTCATTACAGTAAATCGTCACTTTTCTGATATTGAATTCTAATTAGTATTAATATGATACGATTCGTGTGAATCTGCGTTTGTCGCTCGTTTGGGTTCTGTTTCTGTCACAGGCAAAAAAAAAACTGTTCATGCACAACAATCAGAAATAAAAAAACATATCTGTTTTGTTTGGTAATCATGTGAAACATGGTCTTATAGTCAGTAAAATGTTTACAGAAATAAATCAAATTGCCAAACACTCTCAGAAAGAAACATTATTGAAAGTTTTTGTATATTAATTACAGAAATGTGCGACAAGTCACAGCTAAAAAAATAAAGTGTTTTGGAACAACAAACTGTTTTCAATTTAATATTTGTCAATGTCAATTTGTCATTAACATGCAATTTAAAAAAAGTGCTCATTGTGCTCAGTAGCTCCATTCACAATGAAATATCATTGGTCCAAAATCCTTCTTCACATAACTATATATTAAATCAACAAAACTGTGAAGTCATAGAGATAGAATAGCCTCTCTACGAATGCGCTGGTTGATTATTTCCTCGCTTCTGCTAGAACATAATGTCTACGCAAATTGATTTTTAAATCATTTTTCATATATTTTTTAATGTGGTATTATTGTAATTTCAAAAATAATACAGACATTATTGAAATGCGGGACCCTGCATTTATCTTGGCCACCCTATTCCTGCCATTACTACAAACCCTATCAATAAATGTGGCAGAAAGGCATAACATAAAGACTAATAATAATGATATATTGGGTTGAGGTTTGTTGCTGAAATCTGGTTACCAGTCAGAGCTCGAATTTATTTATATTAGTCCTGTTGTATTGGTCAATGTGCAGTTTGCAGCTGCATATTCCTGTAGCATTCAAACAGGAATTTAACAAGTTCTACACTTTCCCGCCTGTTATTGGCATGCTTATTTAATATTTGGCCTAATTTGATAGCTTTATGCTACGAGAAAGGTACTGCTCAGCTTGATTGAGCATGTTTTATCATATTTACATTTTCATATTTATCATATTTAAATATCATATTTTATATTTATTGCACATAATTTTGCAGATTTGAACTTTTTCTCACTGTCACTGACCTACAGAAGCGTTATTTTACAACCAATTGTTGGTATATGCTTTTTAAAGCAGCTATTTTGTTATTTTTAAGTGTGTGTGTGTGTGTGAGAGAGCTGTTTTGCAAACACAAGCAGTATACTCTATGATGCAAGCTCTCTTGCTGATGCAGAAAACATTTAATTATTTAGCATTTATTCACTCATTTATTTTCTTTGCATGCAATATTTCTCAGTTTGGTTCATTAATTGAGCCGCGTGTGATTTTAACACGCTTTGCCTTATTTGCATGCAGCACAGTTAGTCTGGAATAAGTTTAAACCTGTCATCCTCTGGAGATCTCCGGCTCTGTTTAGAGAGTCCGAGATAACGACAGGAAGATATGCGTGAAGAAGCTCAAGTAAGCTCAGGTTTGGTTTAAGAGAGAGATTTTTCTTTCTGAGGCTGTTATATCACACTTGGCCTGGTATTGGTGTTGAATTGCCTCTAGATGGCTCCATGTAATGATAGTAGTTTTCTACTTTTGTTTTCTTAATCGCAGTTTATATTACAGCTTGTGTTTGGTGGAACAAAAATGAGACGCTTCATTAACAAATCCATACAGTAAAAACACACAGTGCAAACATCAGATAAGATTGGGTTAAATGTGCTTTATTTTCAATGACATAATGCAAAAGCTTTTTTGCAAAAAAAATTTGGGGTGAAATATGTTATTGATTCACTCAGTTACATAAGTGTTCATGTAACATTTGCCCTATTATACTTACTGTATGCATGCATTTGTCTGCAGTGAAATATATCACAAGTTGACATAGACATCAGTTTGTTATTCATCTTCATTTCTTTTCCAATTGTGTGATAAGGTCAGCAGACACACTGATTATATTGAAAAATACTGATGTAGATAAATATGAAAGACTTTGCATTTTCAAACAAGAGTTAAAGCATTTGTGGCAAAGAGGAGTTTGGGTTGGGGCTTGCTGCTGAAATCTGGTTAAAAGTCAGAGCTTTGTTTATATGTTTATTGTGTCATTGTATAGTTGTATTAGGCAATGAGAATTCACAGGTTCTGCTATTTCCTGTCCATTATGTGCTTGGTTATTTAATATTTTGATGTTTTCTGCTACCAGAAATGTAGCTTGATTGAGCACGCTGTATCATGTTGAAAACCCACTGCACAGACTTTTGCATTATTCAGGACAGAAAATACAAAATAGACAAAAATTAGGTTTGCTTGTGTCAATAAATGACATTTTAAGTCAGTAAATGTTCCTTCATCAATCAGTGTGCAATCGGTATGGACTGATTAATACTGATGTTTTATTTCAGCTGTTTTGCTACGTTTATGCTAGCATTATATTAGCCGTCTTTGACAAACTCATTTAGTTTGATCACTAGCTATAACGGTGTCGAAATTTGTAAAAGACAGGAAGTGAATAGCTGTTCATGTGCTGTGAGCGCTCTGGCAGATGCACAGTATATTGAAAATGAGAAAACTGTGCTGTGGGACAGAGAGATGTCAGACATAACTGATGACTCGTCTGCCTTCTGATGGATTCTGGATGAGACCGGAATGAAAAAACTTCACTCAGTTTATCCCAAATACACAAAATAATGTTATTTTTAGCAACATCATATGACCCCTATAAATCAAAAATACTCTCATGTTATGGATGGAGCCAAAGCGGCGTTAACGTCGGGATCAAAGCATTCCCACTTTCCTCTTTCCCAGACTATTCTTTTTTTTTTTTTTTTTTTGCATCGATGCAGCATTGCACTTCATGTCAGGTAGGACCCTTTCCCAGACTATTTTTTTTTTTTTTTTTTTTTGACAGCCATTCAAGTGTTTGTGTGTCTTCAAAGGGTTTATTCCTGGAAACACGGTCAGTGAGGTGTCAAACCAACCTGGAGGTCAGGTTTATATTTAGTTCCCATTAACTGTATTAAAGGGTTTCTCAATTGTGCCATTGTCAAGGGTCAAACTTTTTGTTCTACCTTTAAGCAAAAAATAGCAATTGAACAAAAGTTGGTTTTCTCCCTGCAGAGACAGAGGCATTCCCTCTCTTTTCCATGGAGACAGCGGCCGCCTCAAAGAGTAAGACCCTCCACACGACCCTCTGGCTTCCTGTTCCTCTGCTGTTCCTCTGCTCTGTGCTGCTGCTCGCCGGTTATTACAGATTCTGCAGAACCAACCCTTCTACACAGATATTACTGAGAGCAAAGTTAAATGGAGGTGTTCTAATGATTATGTGTTTTGCAAATTAATAGTTTATATATATATAAAAAAATGCTTCCATTGTTGTTAAAGTGGTAGTTCACCCACAAATAAAAACTCTGTTGTCATTAACTCACTCTCATGTCTTTCCAAACCTGTATGACTTCCTTCTGTGAAACAAAGATGATATTTTGAATAATGCTGATAAACAAACAGTTTTGGTTCCCATTGGCTTCCTTTATATTTTTTGGCCACACAGTTGAAGTCAGTGGAAACCAAAACTGTTTGGTTACCAACATTCTTCAAAATTTTTGGGCGAACTACCACTTTAACTAAAACTAAGACTATTAAAAATAATTTTTGTTCATTTAAATAATGCTGAAATAAATAAAACATACAATTAGATGAAAAACATTTAAGTTTCTTCTCATGTATAATAAAGGTTGCTTAAATAAATTAAATAATAATAAATTAAGTTAAATAATAAATTAACTAAATAATAAAAAAATCATAATAATAAATAAAGCTATATTGAAATATAAAATAAAAAAAAAAATAAAATGAAAAAAGCACTTAACAAAAATGAAATGAAAATTAAAAGCTAATTCTAAATGTTAATAAATGATTGTGATGTTCCAAACCAGCATGTCTTTTTCTTCTGTTGTGGGAGACAAAAGGAGATTTTTTTTTTTTTCAGAATGTTCATGCTGTTCTTTTCCATACAAAAAAAAAAAACAAAAAAAAAGTATGTTGCCCATACGGTCTTCTGATGTCAGATAATAGTTTTTGCATGAAAAACAGACCAAAATGAAAGTAATCACTCACTGAACATCTTTACCATCGAACATATGCTTCCATGGTATGAAAGAGAGCAGCATTAACATTATTCAAAATATCTTCTTTTGTGTTCCACTGAAGAAAGGCAGTCTTACAGGTTTGGAACAAAAACGAGGATGATGCAGTCATGATAGAACTTAATTTTTGTGATCTATTCAGTTAAATGTTTGACTGTCACTAGAAGTGTGGAAACCTTGTCAGTGTCTTCTCGCAGCTCTCTATCGGCCAGCTTTTCTTGGCGGTGGTGGCAGAATTCAGGCTCGCTCTCCCTTTTTTCTGTCTACCACTGTCTTTTTGACCTCGCTACTTTGGATAAGCTGTTGCTTGGCAGCTTTGCCGTCACTTAAAATGAACCATTTTCTTTAACTAACTCACAGTTCATTACTTTTCAAATTTGTGCCAGAGTTTAATATCAGCCACACAGACACATTAACCCCAATTAAAAGAATTTCTGTGCGTCATTTTTAAATGCCTCGTCACCTCCTCCATTGTCTTCATATTACGTAACTCCACTGTTGTCCTGAAGACGTAGGAGCTGCTTCCACACATCAGTAGATTCATCAACCGCTAAGGACAAAGATCTTAATCTCACGGACTCGGATACAGCCTCTTTTTGAAGTTATTGAATTAGTTTTTCCTGATTGAATTAAAGAATTCCCATCCTGAAATGGTGAGCCAGACTGTGCTGATGTTACGTAATCAGTGTCCTTTCAGTTACCGCAGCATTCTGTCAATCACTGAAGGGTGTGGACGTCGTGACCGATGAATGCTGACTCCAAGTGAAGAGTTGCTTACATGTCGCTAGACTTTGCTAACTTTCAGAAACGTCCTGCCTGACTAAATTGCATTAATATATTCGGATGCAAGGCCGAACTCCTTATGTCTTTTCAGACAGTGCCTTGTAGTCTGACATTTAACTGGTTGGACTAGTGAATGATGATGGTGACTATGTGAAATGACATCCTGGACATGTTGTTCTCTTGTTCTCCTGCATGTTTTCGAGTTTACCTGTATGTCTTGAGGTTACCTGTATGTCTTGAGGTTTAATTTCTTGGCTATTTGGACTCTAGATTGTCATCCATGGGTAAGCTTGGGTAGGTGACAGACCCACCTATGACTGTATTGGTCAGGGTTGGTGCAACCAAATATTTTGCTCTCTTATTTGCACTGTGCATGATTCTTATAACCTTGGGATAATAGATGGTGTTTTCTCAGTCGGATTTGTCGCTGCATTACTGCTTCGTCTGCTCTGCTGGGAAATCATGAATGCAATGTTTTAACATAAATCGCAGCTGCTTTTTTTCAGATTGCACTGAGGTTAGTGTCTTCATTTGGTTTCATGGTGTTTGTCTTTCGCTTACAGATTGAGAAGATCATGACACTAATTGGTGCTGGCATCGACTTCTCAAAAGACCAGGAGTGCCCTGCCACAGGTTTGTGATACTGATACTCTTTCAACTTGTCAACTGTGTCTATACACTGCTTTCCTGTTTAAAAAGTTTAGTTTTTCATTGTACGCTATTATGAAGAGATGCCAAAATTATTATTTATTCATTTTTTATTATTTTTTATATTTAATATCGGCCATCATTTATCGGTTATCGGCAATAACATGAAAATAATTATCAGCTTATAATTATAGGTATCCACTATAATTTTTATATGTGCATCCCTAATTTCCCCTCTTCTAACAAATAAATCCACACCTCTCTCTGTGTCTAATAAATACCAAAATCCCTCAGATAAAATATGAAAATCCAAGGGATAATGCACATCCAGCCATTGTTATCGCAGAGTAGACCCCAACAGGGTGATCAGGAGCCTTGCATCACCCTGTAGGGGTTTAATCGGGGGTAACAACTGGCTGGATGTGCATTATCCCACTTATTACATGGCTACTTGCCGCATAAGTAAATAATTAGACATAAAATATTGATTTTCATTGAAATATTTTATTAGCTCGTTAAACACAAAGCTTCTGCAATAAAAAAACAGTTCCTAACAAACCTTAGCGAAGTTCAGACAAGACGAAAAATTAAGGCGTAATGTACAGTCATATCACTAATTACATCGCTTTTCACCACATAAATAAAGACGAGGGCATAAAATGTTATTTTAAAACAAAGCTTTTTAACAATTTTACTGCATACCTACTATTAATACTCTGGTTTCATTTTACAGTAAATGCAGTCAATAACTGAGACGCAAGATGATAGCAGTTTCATTTGAATGAAAGGAGAGAGAGCACAGTGTAATCATGTAATAAATAAATGGCATTTATTCGATTGTTAAGTCTAACGTCATGTGCCGTCATTTCCAGGTCCAAACACTCCTTCAGGTACCAAAAGCAGACAACCAAACAGTACAAGGATGCTCTTATGGTGTAATGTAAATACTTCTGAAAAATCATAATCCTAACCTTTCTCTCCACACTGAAATCTCAGTTGACCAGGCAGTAATATTTTCTGAATCGTTACAAAAATATTGTCCGGAACACTGTGAGCCCAGAGGCTGTAGTGATGGCTGTTGAGATGGTATTCTCGTTTAAAATGGAGTATAAGCTTGGTCCCAGAAACAGTATTCAATATGTCACAAACAAGCGGATTGTCTTTCATTGAGAGGAGGGATTTTGTGTTTTTGTTCAGTTACTTCTCATTGTACTCAAAGCTTTGGCCACCTGATGGCCATCATAGCTGACCATCAAGTGTCTTTCTGGATCGTACGTTTACATGAGGATCTGCCTTCGCATCGGCTCCCCTATGAAATGAGACCTGACTGAGCAGTCCAGCAATGAAACTCAATAACCTATTGATGGGCAAGAAAAAGACGAAGATCAAGTCCAGAAGACATTAGTGAACAGAGGATATGGAATTGGCTGGCCCTTTAAATGGAGAATTAGAAATCCCATTGTGCCGTTGAAGGACGAGGGGACACTTGAGAGTTAAATCAATGGACGCTGAGACGCTTGACGATTCCACCTTGCTGATGCGTGACCTTGTTCTGTATGGAGGCAGCTTATTGACCTTTCTCTGGAATTAACCAAACTACAGCAATTGAGACCAGAGGGGCCGTCACGCTTGCTGTACCATTTGCTCCTGTAAGTGCAGTTTGGCAACTTCTGCAAAAACGGACGGGACAGCTGCTGTTCTTAGGTTTAAGCCTTGAATAAAGCACCCTTCTCACATCAGTGTATCTTAAAGCCTATAAACGCTGTTTCAAGTGGTGTGTATCTACCAGTGTTGGGCAGTAACGCATTACTTAGTAACGCGTTACTGTAATTTGATTACGTTTTTAGTAACGGAGTAATTTAACGCGTTATAATTTTTAAAATAGTAATTAGAGTATAGTTACAAGCCAAGGTCTCTATACGTTACTGCCGCATTACATTGCTGACAGAGTGCAGTGTTTTATAATCTGGAGATTGTAAAAAGGATGTAGCTCACGCACTGTCGAGTCAACTGCCAGTGGATTAGAGACCTGCTCCCGCTAGACCCGACGCAACAGAGTGCGGCGCGGGACAAGACTTGATAGGCGAGTGAAGAGACTCGTGTGTGTGTGTGTGCGGGATGCGGGAGAGAAAAAAAACATTTTTCACGGGACTCCCGCAAAATAGTAATATCTAAACATAAAATACTGTGAATGTTGATGCTTTAATAACAAATATTTACGGGAGCGTGTATGCTGGGATTTCATAAATTTCATGGAGAAAAAAGTAACGTAACTAGTAATGTTACTAATTACTAATTACGTTTGAAATAAAGTAATCAGAACAGTAACGTGATTACTTTTAAAAGGAGTAATCAGTAATCCATAATTTGATTACATTTTCAGAGCAACTTGCCCAACACTGGTCTCTACAAGGGGCCTTTGTGTTCCAACTGGGTTCATTGGCCCATATAAGTGCAAAGCCTAGCTAGAGGACCAGTCCTTCCTCTGTTCTTTGTCACATGGCACTGCCTCTGACCTCATTTCCTGTTTCCCGCGGGCATCCTACTTGGACATGACTCTTGGTTTTTAGTTTTAGTAGTTGTGTTCGCTAAATCCAGCATTTTTACTTTAGCTTGTACTAAATGGAAAAACCTGTAAACAAAGTATTAGACTGTGAAGGCCCTGCACTGTTTGTGCTTTGGACATAAATGATACCATAAATCATGTGGCTTGTTGAGAAGTTGTGCTTTTATTCTAAGAAATCAGCCTTAAGATTTTTGGATAAGCAATAAAGTGGGAAAATAAATCTAGGGACATTTTGTTCAAAGCCACCACCTAGATACCTCCAAGAACACTCTAACATGCTAATCTTAGTACACTTGTACCATTTAGCTGGTCATAATGCTTTTTTGAAATCTAAAGTGAACTATTTGTTGAAAATTCATCCTCTTTTGTGGACTACAGAACTTGGCTCGCCTCTTCTAATACCACACTGGAATACTCTGTAACTGGTGGTTTTGCAGTTTATTTATAAGGCATTTGTTGCATCAACAGCACAGTATTTCATTAATAAACTCCTGCAACAGGATTGTTGGCAGAGTTTGTCCGTTAGGTTTCTGTCTGTGTGGATAAAGTTGCTAAAATATTAACATGCATGGGGAATTAGAAGAAGAACTGCCCTGCAGCTTGGCAATAAACCCAGAGCTACATCCTCCAGCCTAGAAGCTCTGCATATGCCTCTGTGTTTGTCCTTTGCTTTCTGGGTAAACACTATTTGGCTTTTTCCATTTCTTTGTCTTTTGAATCAATGTCTCTAATATTGTTACCATAGTCAACAATACCCTGACGAAAGAGTAATGGTCCTGGTTGGGTCAATGAACTGGACGAAGGTTTGATGAGTCCTTAGATAATGGACAGCAGGCCCGCATTTTCTTTTAGGGGAAGAGAGAGAGCGAGGCATGGAGGGGAGGAGACGGAGGGGGAGGGGAGAGCAGTAGCAAGGGAGAGAAAGGAGGAGACGGAGCAGGAGCGCTGCAGAGCAGAATTGACAGCATCCAGATGAACAAGGAGACCACACCTTCTGTGCCGAAGGGATTGCTGCTGCGTTTCTTACAACATCCAGACTCATCCGCCCCGCAAGTCTGGAGCAGGGTGGGGGGTCAGCAAACACCCCACTGACCTTGCATTACTAATTCAACAGCAGCCGCGATGTCTCGACAAACTAGAGGGATATCGAGATGTCTGCAATGTACTGAGGATTGACTGATGTGGGAAGTGCACCCACTTTCTCTGTTTGGACCTCTACAGGACTCTGGGAGACTTTGTTGTGGCGGAAAAGCAAGTCTTGTACTTATGCTGTCTCTGATTAAGTTGAATGTCTCGGTGGATACTAGTTCTTATTGGCTTTTCCATTCGCTTTTGCTTTTAATTCTGCTTCGATTACACTGACTTTAAATCTAGGTTTATTGGTGAGGCTTACATGTGGTGCCGTCTTTTCCATTAGCTTATTCTGCATCTAAATGTAATATTTGTTGTGAAATAAAGTTGATATTGAGAGTTTTATTAGAGCAAAGACTTTTTTGCTCTTTGCCTAAGTCTCATGTACCTTTGATCCTGAGGATCACAGAGTGATTTTGTGCAGTGCAAGTCATGCAATCCTGCCTGATTTTATCTGATTTTTTATCGTAGAGATTGGATTAGAAGTTCATTTGCATGAGGAGTGCAGAACGCAATTTAAGAGTTTTCAGGCTTAAGGTAGCAATTTTAGTTATAGCCATAGCAATTTTTAGTCACTATTGAGATCAGGAGATTTTGAGGGTCACTCGGCATCAGTTCAAGGGATCGGTAGACATTGCTTGGGAGTAATGAGTGTTTGTGGTAGTTATAGGTGAAAAGTTTATTTGTGCACCCCACCTCCACATGGACACCCGTGAGGGAAATACCAACGTTCAATCGTGAGATGTTTTTCCTGTGCTCCTCCTCATTAAAAGGTGCAAAGGTGGATCTGCAAACTCACATTTTCAGGAACTAGATTGTCCAGAATTGCAAGGAAACTGGTTTTATTGCAATGGTGCACATCGTCTTCTGTGACTTTTTGGATTGTGAAATCAAACCTTTGATTCATTGGGTGATTTCTGGGCTCAGATGGAAACTTTGACAATTGCTGGTCTCGGCACCCAGTTGTACTTCATAGTAACTTCTAAAACCTCTCCAATGTAAATTAATTCAACAAGGACGTAATGTGGAGTCTATATCAGTGATCAATCCCAGCGTTGGGCTCATCTTCTTGCCAGATTCGGCAACAACAAACTTCATTGTTAGCAAGCGTGGTTTCGCCCCTGCTGTGGGAGCGGCCACACCTCTCGGCCAGGATCCTGTCGCCTTTGCCGTCTTGGTGTTTGTGCTCTCGGCACTGTTGGCCGAGGATGATGTGGCAGTGCCACGTCTCTTCCTCCGATTGCCGATGCTACCGTCTCAGTGGTTTCTCGCTGCTCAAGCGCCTTCCTCTGTCCGCAGGTGGATCCGGGAGGCTGCTTGAACAGCCGGTCGGTGATTGGTTGGAGAATATCGGCCTTCCGCAGTATGAGAGCAAGCTACTGCTCAACGGCTTTGACGACCTGCGGTTCATGGTGAGTAACTCCTATCTAGTTGTCTCCTACAAATAAAAGCATCTCACTTTTATTGCTACTGTACCTGTACTTACTGTATTGTGCTACCTAAAGTCTTTCTATGTCTTATTCTTTTTATCAAATCTGATTGTCATTAAGAAAATGTTAACAAATTACTTGTCATCAGAGAGCTTTTGTTTGTTTTGCATGCCAGTTATGATGTGCTGGTGGTTATGGATCTTGGCCAGTAACTCTGATGTTGCAGAGTAATCGCCTTCATGCAAACACTCAGAAAGAGAGCATTTTCTAGTACCCTGAATAAATAAGCATTAAGTGTTTACAAGTATGCTGCCGTAGCAGAGCGAACCTGCAGCCAAGCAAACTTCTGAAACAGCAGCCGAACTGTCAGCATTCTTCTTAAGCTGGGAGGTCGAATGAACAGTGAGCGTTCTTTGGTCTTAAAGGGTTAGTTCACCCAAAAATGAAAATTAGCCCAGGTCTCTTTTTGAGATTTCAGATTATTGCAAAAGTGGAATTTTTTCAAAAAAATGTAAGTATCAAAAAGTTATAGTAGTTTAAATTTACTGTAAAGAAAATGCAGTATATTCATTTTATTTTATTTTATATATAAAAAATATTTTACATAACAGGTTTTACTCTAAAATTGGTATAAAATTATAGCCTTATGTTTAAATAAGTTATGTTCCAAATTTGAAGTTGATATGAAAACAATTGAGGTTCCTGTGAGATTTTATTTAGGGCGTTATACCACAAACAGCCACCGGGTGCCATCCAAACTCTGTAG